AAAATGTCAAAGAGCATGAATTTATCATACTTGAGCAAAGAGTTTCGAATTTATGAAGTTAGGTGTCCAAGGTTGCATTACAAGTCATTTTTGTGATGACATAAAGATCAAATCTCTAAGTCATGTATGCAATCTTGATTTTTAGGTCATAGTTTTTCTAAATTTATCCAAAATAAAAAAAGTACACAAGCCTTTGAGTCTTTATCTAAGTGATATAAGCTATTGTCCAAATAACTTGCCATTTAAGGAAGAAAGTCACCATTGCCATTCTTGAAAAGAAATTTTTTTGTACAAATAATGTCTTGAGCCCATGCCTCTACTTTATTCTGATCACACTCCACCCTAAATCAAGGAAACAATGTCTCTTCGCCCAGCCACTCTTGGTACTATGCATTGGAACCACGAATTTTCAAATTTCTTCTCCACTAAGTTTCCAAACCTTATACTTCAAGCTTATCAGTTTCAAACCCTCATTGTTCTCTATAAATAGAGATCATTGTTGAACTTAAAAGACACCAATTCACAGCTCTTAAACACCCTCAAACTCTCTCAAAATCAGAATTGGCTCAAAACTCCATTTTTGAACCTTGAAAACCATAACTTCGAAATTCATCACCCTTGCAAGTTTTATGCAAACTAAACATCCAAACACATCATAATCATCATTTAGAACTTGTCTAAACCCCATGTTACACTTCTGTAACATCATCATCATCATTCTCTAACTCAAAAAACCGTGGCTTGCAACTTGATTTGGTTGGAGTGATTCAACAACTTTCAAAGCAAAGTAAGGGTCGGAATAGCTTCAGGGAGGTCCCAATAAGCTAACCATATCATCACATTGCACTGAAAATCCATAGAAGAAGCATTAAACTTTCTCGAATTTGGTAAAAAAACTCAAACTTTGATATCCATATACATGTATCATTAATGTTTGATTTCTAAATGAAAAATGTAGATATGATTGTCCTGAAGCTAACCATGTAATTAGTTTTCACTGATTTTGCTTGTGTGATGAGAACCGTGTCTCTGAATAATTAGGGTTTTGTTTTGGTACTGAGTTAAATTCGTGTTCATCTTTGAGTGTTAGCTAAAATAAATGGCATGGTTGAATTCCTGATTAAATTTTAAGCAAGTTTGGTTTTTATATTTTTGAAAATTGTTGAGAAATGAAGATTTAACATATTTGAAAATGGAGGTTATTTTTGTTATTGTCGCGAGGAAGAAGAAGAGGGTAGCACCATTTTTCCATTTTTGAAAATTAAGTTTAATGCAAGTGGTGTTAGGACAGAATGAAATAGTCACCCAAGTGGAAAGAGCATGCGCGTTAAGGTCTTGGCAAGCATAAGGGTGGGGGATCAAACCAATGTGAACCCCCCCCCCCCCCCCCCCCCCGTTTCCATTTTATTTCATTTTGTGATTTTCTGAAGCGATTTTCATATATTTTAAACTGGGTGCACTCCTTGTACAGGTCGTGGTTAAGCTTTTAACCAATGAATATTAGGGCGCAGGTTCATGCCTTGCCAACCCCATTCCAAATTTTTTATCACTAACTTCTTTTGTTTTTTTATCAAACTTCACAAATTAATTTCACCAATCAAAACAATTCTTTTTGGACTTATTTTTTGCACACTATTTATTTAGCTACCCTATTTTAGGAATATAAGAAAAATCCCAAAAATATTATCTATTTAACCTTTTTTATTTAATTCAAAACAAGTCCTGTTTTAGTTGTTTTAAAACCTTTTTCTTTGATCTTTCTTGTTGATTTTCTTGAATGAACCCATGTTAAATAACCATCCCATGTCTTTGATAAATGTTGTTTAAAACCGCATCCTTTGTGTGTTCATGTGCCATGAAAAACTTGATTTTTAATTAATTTTAAAACTTGACTTTTAAGTTTATTCAAAAAACCCTAAATCATGATCTGTAACTTCTTATGTCACAACTTTCCCTTTGATAAACATATTAATCTCCCCCTTTGTGTTTAAATACGTGTGACATGTATGTTTTCTACCATGTTAGTCATTTAATATTTTGTTATACTTGTGCCCCCAAAAATCCAAAGAAAATGATAGTATTGTTGACTTCATAGTCATAAGCATGTGACTTTAAACTTCCTTTTTTTAAAATCAAATACTTCAATATACTTAAAGAAATCAAAACAATTTCAAAAGACTAAAAGTGACTTAACCTCACCCAAGTCTTTTTTCCACTTGGCTTTTCAATTTAAAACTTTTTCTCAAAGAGATTAGATATAAATTTTCTTCATAGTTAAGATATGATTCTCATATCCCCATAGTAATTGTTGAAGTAAATGTGATTCTTTCCACATGAAGACATTAGTTGGCAACTTGTTGATCTTTATATCCAACTTAATAGTCATTCCTTCATGATGATGTATGATTCATCTTCGCATACTTGTGGTGCTATATAGTTGGGTTTTTCTCCCTTAAAGATGATTAAATATCTTTTTCTTCTAAAATCAACCACAACAAACCATTTTGTTAATTTTACCACAAACTACGAGGTTTTGATCCCTAATTGGTACATAGATATAAGACTATGTCTTTCCAAACAAAAATCAATAAAATATATTTCTTTTCCCATCTCCACACCCATTTAACAAACAAACAATTTTAACCAAAAAACAGATATTATATGTGGTTCCTATAGAGTACTATAGATACATATGATGCTAATACCTTCCCTTTGTATAACCAACCCCCCGTACCTTTGATCTCTTCCTTATGCTTTGCTTTTAGTCTTTACTTCTTCTATTGCATTTTAAATATAGGGTTCGATATTTTACCTTTTCCTTGGAAACAATAAAGTTCGGTGGTGACTTCTTAAGTGTTTGTGAGTCAAGTTCCTCGATAGCTTAATTTCATGGATTTTTCACCGGGACAAGAACCAAGAACCCTAGTAACAAACCCAATGCTGATGCAAATAATCCTAATGAGAAACTCATTGTTGAAGAAATGAAACCCATAATTTTAGACTACATGAGTCATATTTTTCGTGTTTTTCATTCCACCCCTTCAATCTTGAAAGTTGAGGGTATATTTCTTGGTTAGGCAAAGTCGAAATCAAGAAAGCACAAACCTGGAAAGATATGGGTATTTATAATTTAATCTAGGTGTCAAAAGTAGGACTCCCTTACTACCAAAATAAGCTTGTCGCCTTCTTATATTTTTGGGAGAGCACCACCAATACATTTCAAAGGGATGAGGATACCATTAATTTCGACACTGACCGCGCTAGTTTTGGAAAATACATTGATGACCATCATGACACTACCACAATCAAAGTATTTGATGAGGAACATATTTATTTTTTAGCGTTATGGTTGTCACGTTGTATCTTCTTCTGCAAGTCTTTGAAGGTAGCAAAAAGGTTTCTGACTTCATCTAACCAACTACATGACAATCAAAATATTTGTATGAGCCAACTGATATTAGGTTCTTTGTATGAGACTTTAGGATTGATTAACTATCGAGATACTAAAAACTCTTAAACTTGAAATCAACTTTTTGCCAGTTGGCCCTTATTGGCTACTCCAACTATGGCTAAATGACATGTATGAACCATCTTTTCAAATCGACAAACCAAGTGATGATGATGAGGAGATCAAACATAAGAGGATCGAAGGTTCTCGACTGGTCTTGATGACTCCTATTGATAACGGATATACCTTGAAATAAGCTTTTACAAGTTATGTTATGATGTTTGCAAAGGTATTAATTTCACTCCAGTCATGGCTCCTTTCATCAATCGAACTCACGACCCTGAATGGTTCACTCGAGATTCCACGCTCCTACTATTGAACATGAAGCTAAATATCTTGAAATATGGAAAGCTTTTCTCACTACCAAACTCCTTTCTACCAGGCTTGTGATATCCATTGATAATGTGAAAATATTGTGCTATCATCCTAACTTGGTGTCTTGACAATTTAGGATTAACCAAATTTTTCCAAAGTCCTTTTTTAGTCAAAAGAATGAACTTTTCCTTTGCACCGTCGACTTCTCAGAGGCTCAATATATTAAGCGTCTGGATCAACATGCTTCTGATAGTGTTTAACTCACACCACTCTCTTTTTGACCGTCCTTTTATTGTACCAAAGAATTTGATAATTGGTGGAGAGCCTTCCATGCTAGAGAATTTATTAAAATCTCAACACTATCGCAACATCTAACAGATGGTTTCTCTATTATGCATATGAAATTTAAGAAAGGTAGAGATAAACATATAAACATGATAAATGAGTAGTTCCTCAAGAACGAATGCTTAAAACCTGCTAAATGAGTAGTTTTGATTAAACATGATATATACAGTTTCAAGGGGCATCTTCATGTCGACATACACCATGTCAAGATTCTATCAAATCATACATGAAGGTGAGGAAAACAAATGGTCTTTTGGGACAAATTATCTTATTATTTCCATTTTTCTGTTCTTACACATCCTTTGTCGTTTTGTTTATAGTGGTCGAGCGTAGGAAACAGACCAGAGATGCTTCTTGTGAAGTTGTTGCCTCTTCACACAAAAGATCCTGAGAAGGAAAAAATACAGTAAAAAAAAGGAAGTGCGGGTTTGTTTTCATATCGAATTTAGCTTCTTTGACATATGTACTTTTCTCGATTCTCTTCTTTTTCAATTATCTTTATCAATGTTGTAAATTGAAGGGAGACCTCGAGCCACTCCTCCAAAATGTTTGAAGAGAAAATAGAGAAAAGACCTTCATGATCAGGATATTGTCGAAAACTCCTCCCTTGAAACTCCTAAATAGAAGAAGAAGAAGAAGAAGAAGAAGAAGAAGAAGAAGAAGAAGAAGAAGAAGAAGAAGAAGAAGAAGAAGAAGAAGTAAAAATAAAGAACCCTCGAGGCTAGTTCCCACAAAGTACCATCCTAGTCCAAGTGTTTCCCCCGGTGCTAAAGCAAAGAAGGGAAAACCTTCCACCTCTCAAGTTGTCGAAAAGGAAATAGAGGTAGGAGAGATGCTTGTTCCTAGCGATCCTGAAAGCGCCAATTCTAGCCCTAACATCGGTGTGCCTAAAGTAAGCTTTCTTTGACTAAAACTTTTCCTTGGTGAATAATTCCATATATTGATACATTAATTTCTGCAGGAGACCCTTTCTGATAATGCCGCACCAAGAATCAAATACACCATCCCAGGTACTACCAGTTCTCCCTCCGTTTATCCTAAATAGACTAAAGGCTCTGCCAGAGAAGTCAAATAGCCTTCAGAAGTCCAAGACAACATTCTCGGTTATGATGTTAAGAGTCAAAACTCTAATAGACCCCCCTCAGACAATGATAGTGAAGATTTGGACCATGTGATGATGAATTATGTGGTCGAAGAAGGAAATATTGAGCAAAGAAAAGACAATAACCTTCCTTCTCCCGAAATCCCTAAGAATGTCAAGAAAAGCCGGAAATCATATATTCTTATGAAGAGAGAAAAGTTGAGGGTGACCACACAAATAATGCATCCTTAAAAAGCACGCCAAAGGTTAATGAACCTCTTGAACCAACTTGTACTACCAAACCTAATCTAGATAATATTTCCCTATCCCAAGAAGAATTGGAAAAATTAAGAAGGACAAAACCTTCTGAATACCTGAAGCTGATGATGAGCGTTCATGGTAGCTCAACTAAAAAATGCTCAAGCTCTTCGACAGTTTATGGTGGAGACTTTTCTATTGAACCCCTTGAGGATGTATTTCATCAATTGAAGACAAAACTCATTGGTACGAATTTTTTCAAAACCATGGAAAAGGATCCCATGTTTTACTATGGAATTAAAGGGATGCTAAAGAAAATTGACATTCTAAGTGCCTCACTTGTTTTTGTTGACTTTGTGGTGGAGTTTGAACCAAGTCATTAAAGATATCTCTCGTAAGACTGATACACTAGTTAAGCTACAACCCAAACAAGATGCTCGACCGAAAGAGTTGGAGCTAGCAAACAAATCCAAAAGTCTAGTTGAAGATATTGAAATTTTTTTCCAAAAGGAAGATGACGAGATTAAAGCTTGTGCTACCAACATCCTTAGGTGGAAACAAAAAATAGCAGAACTGCAATCAAAGGTGAAGAAAGCCGAAGACAAGCATTTTGAACTCCAGAGAATCAATGGATAACAATTGGTCGAGGAAGCCCTAATTGGGGTCAAACACTTTGATGCAGTTAAGGACTTCGATTCTGAGATTAAAGGAATTACTTCCACCATTTTGCTAATTGATTTTCTACTTGTGGCAACTAAAGATCAAAATAAAAGGCTTAAAGCCTCTCTTATTTTTAAAGATTATGTTCTTGTTTTTTATTATCTACTTTGTCTTTTGACATTTCGACATTTATTTTGTAATATTTGAATATGCCACCAATGGCATTTTGAACTTCGCGCCAGGAACCCTTAGTCAATTTTATGGAAACTTTAATCTTATTTTTCATAGATTTAGATTTCTTGTAACATGGGCCTATACTCTTTCAAATACTTGTCGTTTATTCGCAGTATTTGACCCTATTTGACCCTCAGCGGTCCGTTCTTCGACTTTGTATGCATTATTTGCAAATGCTTGCATTATTCGAAAATGTCCTTTCCAATTTGGGGACCATTTACCCATGGTTAGATTCTTGGGTAGAATGACTTTCCAAACTAAGTCTCCATATACAAAGTTTTTTTATTTGACCTTTTTATTGTAAGATTTAACCACTCGTTCTCTTTGTCGTATCAATATGTATAAAGCGACCAATCTTTATTCGTCCAAGTTAGCCAACTCATCCAACATCATGCTTCCAAGTGAGACACCATCGATCTCTCTATTAATATACTCACAATACCGACACTAAACGTCAAATTTGGTCGCGTACTGCACAAGTAACGCAAAGATCCAATCAGCCTCTTATACTGAGTTGGACACACCTCTTGCTCATACTCATTCTTAGACAAATGTAACCTTGGTTCAGTTGGACTAGCTAGTGGCAGAATTACAATGCTCCATTTCAAACTTCTTCATAATCTCTAGCGCATATCTTCTTTGGTTCATGAACACTCCCTTCATGGACTTGCGCAACTCAATACCAAGGAAGTATGTCATGAGACCAAGATTGGTCATCTCGAACTCTTTCATAAGCTCACTATTGAGCTTAGAAATGCACTTGTCATCGTTTCCCGTGATAAAAAAATAATCTACATATAGACAAATGATGATCACCCCTTCAATTATATCTATCATCACATACACACCAAGTTCAGATACACACTATTGGAAGCCAATCTCCTTTAAGAAACCATATATTCTCTTGTTCCAAGTTCTTGGAGCTTTTTTCAAACCGTAAAACACTTTATTCAACTTGTATAATTTTAACTCTTGGTTTTTCACAACAAAACCAAGTGGATGCTCTATATAAACTTCCTCTTCAAGTGGTCCATTCAAAAACCAAGATTTTAGATCCATTTGATAGATGGACCAATTTTTTTATTTGCAATACCAACAACTAGCCTTATTGGTTCAATTCTAGCAACCACTGCAAGTAACTCTTCAAATTCTATTCTTTATTTTTGAAAAAATCCCTTTTGTAACTAATCGGGCCTTATGTTTGATTATTTCACCCTTGGGATTTGTCTTCACCTTATAGATCCATCTTACACCAATCAACTTCTTTCCTTTCAATAGATCAACTAACTCCCAAGTATTGGTTTTCTCAATTTATTTTGTCTCCTCTATCATAGTATAAATCCATTTTGGATTAGTCAAAGCCTCTTTCATTTTGGGATCAAATCTGGCCATAAGTGCAAAATGGACAAAATGACCATCATTATTGACTTTGTTGTCTAAGAACATCTCACAATCTTGGAGTCGTGGAGGCAAATCTATTTGCCTTGTTGATATTTTCACATTAGATTCAATTCGGGCTTCGACGTGGGCTAGTTCTACATTTTCAAACTCTTTAAAATCTTAATTTTCAATGTTGTAATCGGTTACAGCTTTTACATAACCGGTTACAGACTGCTCTAGCTCCTTAATTTCGTCAACAATGACGTTTCGAATGATCATAATCCTCTTTTTTACTGCATCATACAACTTATAACCACCAGTAGAGTGATACCCAACAAGTATCATCAATTCTCCCTTGTCATCCAACTTATTTTTAAGCTGCCTTCGTACATGACGATACGCTACGCAACTGAAAAACTCTCAAGCGGTTTAGATTTAGTTTGAATCCGGATCATGCCTCTTCTGATGTTATCTTCTCAAGATTCTTTGTTGGGCACCTATTCAATAAATAGGTAGCCGTGATTATCGCTTCTTGATGGAACAAGATTGGTTCTGCATCTATAATCATTAAGTTTTGAGGATAACAAACAAAAAAGAATAATTAGGTACGCTAATAGTGTGTCAAGTATGCAGAATCTGAACAAGTCAGAAGTTGGATATAGCAAAGTATGGGCAAGGTCAAATCTGAACAAATCATACTCTAAAGATCAGGACTCTGGAGAAGTCAAAATGGACGAATCAGACTCTATACAAAGCGCAACTGAAGCCTAATCTAATGCAAAATATGAAGATTGGTAAAATCAGAAGCAATCAGACTCTAAATTGTAGACGCACTCTGAACCAAAGAAAGAAACAAATACATGTTTAAATCAAAGTCAAGTATCTAGATTACCAAGTCAATGCTTCTAAATATATCTATCCATATCAATTATGATAATGACTTTGTTAATCAACTATGAAGTCTCAAGACTCTAAAGTCTCCAACATCTAAACTAAATAGACTCTGGAGTCTTATTTTCACTAGGATCTGAAGATAGGGAAGACATACTCTGAACTCTACTCAAGCTTCAATCAATATATATGCAAAGCCTCTTACTATAAGTGTATCTCTGAAGAAGAATATGTGGAATGAGTACAACCAGTACAAGATCAAATATTTTTTCCACTACTTTAAAAATATGGAAAAAGGATAATATTATTGTCCTAATGTGTTTTCTCTTGTTTCATTCCCTCATCCACTACATGCTGCAAGCACCACACCTATAGTACTATCAATAACCTCAAATAGCTATGTTATTTTAGGAAATTCCAACTTCACCCTCCAATGGATCTATTTCTTTTCCTATATAAAGAGGTTTTGGAAGCTTGGAAAATGCGAGATGGAATGTGACGAATTATAAGAGATTGAAATAGAAGGTTGGCACTTTGTGAATATAGAAGAAAAAGGAATATCACAGCAATAAGAAAGGAGCAAAATGTTGAGACAACTTCAAGAACAACAAAGAGAGAAACACTTTGAGAATTTTATTTCAAATAATTTAAGAGTAATATTTTGATCTTAATTTTGTGTAATCTGCTTATTGTAGAAGCAAATATGTAAACACATAATACTTGTATTTAACCTTTTGGTTAATTTCCTTGAGTGACTAAGTGTTAGTCAAATTACTCGAGAAGTCATTTTTGGGTAGTCTTTGAGTTGTAATTACTTGAGAGACTAGGGTATAGTCATAATTATCAAGAAGACATTGAATGTGGTCTTTGTGGTTGTAATCAAAGCATTAATTAGTGGATTAAGTTCTTATTGAGAAGGAAAAACCACCTTGATGGGTGGAATGGACTAACCTAGTTAAAGGGGAACCAAGATAAAAATATGTATGTTCTTTTATAATTGTTGCATCTTTACTATTTATTTTCTTGGGTGAACAAATTTTTCTTTATCTTGAAACCCAATTCAAACCCCCACTTATTGTGTTTCTTTGCACCTTGACTTCTCCCCATAACTTTTCCGACAAGTTCTTCCATTTCAACATGCTTATCGCGATATTCATAATCAATTGATTCTTTCTTTTGGCAACACCATTTTTCTATGGTGTATAAATTGGTACTACCTCATGTACTATCCCTCTTGATCACAAAACTTCCCAAATTCTTCGCCTCTACCATCCATTTTGAAAACTTTGAGCTTGTGACCACTTTGTCGCTCAACCATGGACTTTAACTTGTTCAACACTTCAAACAACATATGATTTCTCTTGACTAGGTACATCCATAGCTTTCTACTATAATCATTGGTTAATATGACAAGATATCTATTGCCACCATTTGGGTTAACTTGCATCGGTCCACACACATCAAAATACACCACTTCAAGATGATGCTTGGTTCTACAACCTGCATCCTTGCTGAATTTACCATTGTTTTGCTTTGCTTGCACGCACTTTTCACAAATTGTAGTCGGTATGTTGATGAATGGCAACCCTGTTACCATCCTATTCTTTTGAAATACATTAAGATATTTAAAATTGAGATGCCCAAGATAGTAGTTCCATATCAACTCTTCTAGAATAGTTGTTTTATGAAGACACATATGCTCCATAACCTTTAGCTTAACCTTGAAAGTTCTATTGGCAGCCATCATAACTTTTAGGACCAAAACCCCATTTGCATCCATAACGCGTAGCGCCTTATTTTTCATGTGAATCTTCTAACCCTTCTCAAGCAATTGATCAATACTTAGAAGGTTACATTGGATTATTGGAATGTACAATACATCTTTGATCAAGGAATTTCCACCATTCCTTCTCATGATAAAAACATCACAGATCTCATCGGCCGCTAAAGTGGTGTCATTCGCGGACTCCACTTTATTCTTCATGGCATGATTGATTTTGACAAATCAATCCTTCCTCCTCATAATATGCATAGAACAACTGGATTCCAGGTACCATTTCTCGTTGCACTGAAATACTTCTCTCACAATCACCATAATATTTTCTTCTACCTGTAATTAGTTACAACTTTTACTTAACTGGTTACAACATGTTTTTGCAGCATTCTCGGAACTTTTACTGCTACTATCCCACAAACTATCACTTTTGCATTCCCCTCTAGTGGTCATAACCAAGAGTGTGTTTTATTCATCAAACTCTTGTCTTGCAATCTTGGCTTCATCCACTTAAGGTTCCTTCTTATTTGCGTTGCAGTCTCTTGCAAAATGATCAAACTTTTGGCAATTAAAGCATTGTATTTTGCTTTTTTAAATCTTTCCACTTTCACCTCTAAAGTTGTCTTGGCCATCATTCTTGTTGCAGTTGCTATCACCCTTTTGATAAGCCGAATTCTTGAAACTTTGGGACTTTTTC